TATCAACTTTTCTTATCGCTGCGGTGAAAATTTAAACTATTTCAAATATCAAGTGGCGCCGCCGCACAGTGACGGCGGGAACTAACTAAGGACCAAGAAAACTATAATTATCTATAGACTATAGTACATTTTTGCTCTAAAATAATTTGGGGAGCCAATAATTGTCGAAATTTTTGTTTAGTTCATAACTTTTGATTTTGAGGCCGGAAAAAAAATTGTCTGAGATCGACCGGGAAAAAACATTTTCTTAGAGAGTTTGGCCCGTAGAATCCATAATTTCAAACAGTTCCAAGATTGGGCTACTAGTTCAAAAATTACAGCCCTTTGAATTTTTTTTCGAAATTGGTTTCTAGTCTATAACTTTTGATTGAGAAGTCTAATCAAAAAAGTACGAATTGTTTTGGATTCTACGCACCAAAATTAATAAGAAAAAGTGCTTTCCCGAGAAATTTTGGAGCAGTAGATTTTTGGTAAAAAAGGAAGGTTAATCACTGCCTTTTTTTGAGCCTCGAAGACAAAATTGTCTCAGATCGACCCGGAAAAAAATTTTTCTTATAGAACGTGGCCTGTAGAATCCATAATTTCAAACAGTTCCAAGATTGGGCTTCTAGTTCAAAAGTTACAGCCCTTTGAATTTTCTTTCGAAATTGGTTTCTAGTCTATAACTTTTGATTGAGAAGTCTGATCCAAAAAGTACGAATTGTTTTGGATTCTACGCACCAAAATTAATAAGAAAAAGTGTTTTCCCGAGAAATTTTGGTGGTCGATTTTTGGTAAAAAAGGAAGGTAATACACTGCCTTTTTTTGAGCCCCGAAAAAAAAATTGTCTCAGATCGATCCGGAAAAAAAATTTTCTAATAGAATGTGGCCTGTAGAATCCATAATTTCAAACAGTTCCAAGATTGGGCTACTAGTTCAAAAGTTACAGCCCTTTGAATTTTTTTTTCGAAATTGGTTTCTAGTCTATAACTTTTGATTGAGAAGTCTGATCGAAAAAGTACGAATTGTTTTGGATTCTACGCACCAAAATTAATAAGAAAAAGTGTTTTCCCGAGAAATTTTGGTGTAGTCGATTTTTGGTAAAAAAGGAAGGTTATACACTGCCTTTTTTTGAGCCCCGAAAAAAAAATTGTCTCAGATCGACCCGGAAAAAATTTTCTTATAGAATGTGGCCTGTAGAATCCATAATTTCAAACAGTTCCAAGATTGGGCTACTAGTTCAAAAGTTACAGGCCTTTGAATTTTCTTTCGAAATTGGTTTCTAGTCTATAACTTTTGATTGAGAAGTCTGATCGAAAAAGTACAAATTGATTTGGATTCTACGCACCCAAATTATTAAGAAAAAGTGTTTTCCCGAGAAATTTTGGTGTAGTAGATTTTTGGTAAAAAAGGAAGGTAATACACTGCCTTTCTTTGGGCCCCGAAGAAAAAATTGTCTCAGATCGACCAGGAAAAAAGTTTTCTTATATAATGTGGCCTGTAGAATTCATAATTTCAAACAGTTCCAAGATTGGGCTACTAGTTCAAAAGTTACAGCCCTTTGACTTTTCTTTCGAAATTGGTTTCTAGTCTATAACTTTTGATTGAGGAGTCTGATCGAAAAAGTACGAATTGTTTTGGATTCTACGCACCAAAATTAATAAGAAAAAGTGTTTTCCCGAGAAATTTTGGTGCAGTCGATTTTTGGTAAAAAAGGAAGGCAATACACTGTATTTTTTTGAGCCCCGGAAAAGAAATTGTCTCAGATCGATCCGGAAAAAAAATTTTCTAATAGAATGTGGCCTGTAGAATCCATAATTTCAAACAGTTCCAAGATTGGGCTGCTAGATCAAAAGTTACAGCCCTTTGAACTGGCGGCTTGAGGGGTTTAAAGCTGAAGGTTCGAAGGCTTGAAAGTTTGAATGCTTAAGGGATTGAAGGCTTGAAGACTGAATATATATATAATTTCTTTAAATCCGTTTGTGTTTGCTGGGTTACACACTTGGTTTTACCCTTGCGCATTTTTTTCCTGGGAAAATTAGGTATTAGGTGGTAATATGGAAAAGAACCCCCCACACTGTTGGAGTTTGTGGCCCTAGCTTGCTTTTGGAAGTAATTGAACACAATGGTGGTGCTAGCCAGGTCCCGGGCTATGTTTTTAGCGCCCTGGACTATATTTAGCTCGGCACCCCCGTAACTAATGTTTATAATTGTAAAATTGCGTACATAATGATTAAGTGTCATACCGTTTTTTATCTGTATTGATTCAGAAACAAAATTCACCAAGAACCGCACAGAGTAGCAGAATCGCGAATAATGCAAAAAAATGTAATTTAGCACATCTGGCCGCCCCCTCGAAACCCGGGGTCTGGAGCTAGCGTTAACATACCACCTCGAAAATGGATTTTTTTTTGCAAAATCCATAACTGCGCCAGGTGAATTCAAGCGCTAGGTCTGCCGACCAGAAAACATCAAAATTTTACCCGAAAAGAAAGGACATGATGGTGCTGCTAGGGAAATTCCCCCCCCCCCCCACACACACACACACACTATTGGGGAGAGGGGAGGGGCTACCTCTAAATTAGTGGCGCTAGGTCAGCAGAACACAAAACGTCAAAATTTTACACGAAAGGACAAAATGGTGGTGCTAGGAAAAATTGCTTTTTGCAAAATGCTTAGAGATTCTAGCGCAATATGTCTTTAGTCAACTTTAGACAACCTTGGCATTGTTAACGAGCTCCTAGCGAGTTTATAATTTTGCGATGTCTGTCCGTCTGTCCGTCTGTTAGCACGATAACTCATAAACGAATGGACCGATTAGGATGAAATTTTGTAGGTGGATTCTTTATCAAATTTGTAGATCGGAGTTCGTGAATTGGCAATGTAGCCCAAAAAATAAGGAAGGCCCTTTTGACATCTCCATGAGTTATGAACCGAATTGCATGAAATTCAATATGCGAATAGCTTTAGCCATGTAAAACGCAATTCCAAAAATTGAGCCTAATCGATCAACATTCACAGTGCCCTTTTCGCGTCTCGGCCATTTACAAACCTTATTTATGAAGGTATTTAAATGAAATTTGATGCATAGCCACTTGGAATAAAAGTAAATTTAACACCAGTTTCAAAATTTGGTTTTGCGCATGCGCAGTGCCAACTTACTTATTTATGTAAGCAATTAAATGAAATTTCATACGTCATGTACCTACACTTTAAATAAAAGCAAAACTAACATCAGGTTTAAAATTTGGTTTTTCACATACATAGCCTTACCCTTCTTTTATTTTAGCGAGCGTTTTTTTTATTTGATCTCTCTTAGAAAGACTTTTTCGTTATTGACAATATCATATTTGTTTCAATGCGTATAAACTGCTCGACTACACCAGAGCCATTAAATAGTAATAAAAGAACCTCTCGTTGAGAACGTTCGCCAGCAATTGTGATTTATGTTTACGACGATAAAAAATTTACAAGAGCTGCTTCTGTCCGCATTCTCCTCAACTCGAAAGATAAATAAAATTTTAATATAAGGCATTCATCGAGTAGCTCTCGTATAACTTTAATAAATTGTTTTCGGAAATAAGGAGCACAATATGGAGAAGTATCCGAGCAATAAATTATTTGAAATGATTAATGCTGTCATAACGCTTTGTTCGGGAATCCATTCACCGTTACAACAATGTACTTATTGAAATATTATTAGATACCGAAACGCTTCAATATTAAACAAACTTGTTAAAGGTAAATTGACAGTAAATTACATTAAACGCCATTTCGCCGACGTAAGCTCGTAAATTTGAACGTTAAGGGCATTACAATAATTCTTTTTATAGTTTCGGAACGTTGACGTGTTTTACCAGTCGTATATTTTTCAGATCTACGAATTTACATTTTGATACATATTTCTATCAGCCGATATGAAACTGCGACGGGGGATCTCGTTTTTAAAGAAAACGTTTATGTAAATCGCAATTCAAAAACCGTCAAGCAAATGTATATGTTCCCAATTCCTTTAGCAGTCGAGATTTTTGTGTGTTTGTTTTCCTTTCGCATGTCGAAGAGGAAATCGACAGAGAACGTCAGAATCGCTTTATATGCGTAATAGGGCACGCGATGAGACAAAGCGACCGAAATTGCGGTTTGACAGTTACAAGATTCGGTAAATAATTTTTCCGGCAAACAATTTCGGTGCGTGTTTCGATTTTATTCGAAGCAGAAGGGGGGATTTTGGAGAGGTACCTATAAGAACAGGTGCGTATAGTTAGCTTTGACACTATTAAACACGCTGTGTTGAATAATGCCCCAGAGACGTATATAGAAACGGACTTCCCTATAGCTCGTACGTGTACCGTTGAGGTTACTTCCAAGCCGGAGAAGAAAAGGTATCGTGTCGTGTACACAAAGCGTCGTCGTTTAGATCAGGCGTACAATATACAACCCTATGCTTAAAAAGTCTGGTTTTTATTTAATTTAATTTTAAGGTGTAAATATTCTGTGGATTAGGCTTACCGGGGAGACCACATTAAAAAAGGCGCTCTACCTCCTGGGTGGTATGGAAACGGGTTTATTATTGTTGCATTTGTAACTACTTGTAAGTACAGCAGACCCCCCGGTGCTCTGCTCTCTGTCTTATTTCTTGGTAAAAGGGGCTGCGTGGCATTCCAAAGACTATAATTTTATGGGAGAAATTTCTCTTTGAAAGGACTTGCCGAGCTTCCGCGTATCAGTTCGTCATATTTAAAGGTAACCAGAATAACCCGATAAATTCATATCTTCTTTTTTAAATTATTATTAAGAGTGTGTCTAATATTATGTATACATTTTTAAAACAAGAACGCATTTTGAACCATTTTGCTCACATCAGCTCTAAACCGAAGTTGATTATCCCAAATTATTTACTGTTTATGACGTCATTTTCAAACAAAGTATACACGCGTAGAATGAAATGAAAATGTGAGTCACTCTGTATATCAAAAACGCATTTAGTAATTTTGTTAGTTACTTTTGCCTGGTGGGATTGGTAGTACTGGTGTTAATGACTTCTTTGAATTTACTGTCTTTAGATTTTTAGAATGTAAATGATTTTTAATTATGCTAATTATGCAGTGCTTTAGGCTATAAAAACTTTATTGCAACAGTTAACATTATCTTTAGTGCTTTTAAAAATAAGCTATAACGTAAATTGTAAGGTTATGTAGTCACAGACACACACACTTCAAAAACTAATTAAAATGGGTGTCTTTTCCAAATTGGGTGCGTTCTTGAACCGTCACCGCAATAAATTTTTCGTCGGCGGCGTCCTGGTTTCAGGCTCGATCTTATTAACGCGATACGCGCAGCACCGACTGCAAGAATGGCAGCAAAACGAGGCGAAGGAGTTCTTCGAACGGACCCGTAAGCAGCAGCACTACGAAAGTACGGAACGTACGTGCAATCAGACGATTTTAAACCTCATTAATCCCCTAAGTGAATCGCTAATGAAGGCAACTGCGGATATAGACGAGATTTTAGCGGAGCTACGCGTGAATCCCGCGAACAAACTCGAGCTGTGGGAGAGACTGAAGGTGATACCCTCTAAATCGGAGCAGACGCTAACAGTTTACTTTCCAGGTGTTGGTGTTTACGAAGGTAACGTGCCTGGTTTACGTCTGCAGTATACTGACGGTAATGCTAAGGGTACAGATCAACATGGTCGGCGGCTACCTCTACAGGGATCCCGCTTCGATATCGGCCGACCTACAAGAGAACTACCTGTCCAACTGCAAGGACCTGCTCAATTCGGGACTGGATAGGTTAGTCGCCTTCTTCGGCGAAAAAGTATGCATGTCGTACGGCGAGCGTTCGAAATTAACTCGGTCCACTTTGCAGAGCAAGAACGTCTTGGAGGCGATTCCGCTAAATCGCAATCTAAAAATCGACGAGCTCGAGAAGATCTTCTGGGCGATTCAGGTGTCGGCGAGGGAGTCACGCGAGGATCCTGTCAACAAGTTAAGGCAGTACGTTTTTACGGAAAACGGCATCGACGACGCGGTTTACAAATCCGTGGTAAGTATGGCAACATTGCATCAATTGACACGTCTGTTTCATGTTTGTAAGTAAAGAGATTTAGGTTGACACTTGTCCCGAGGAGGAGTTATCGGACCTCATTTTTTAAATGGAGCACTGTACAGGGTGGCCAACTAAGAATGCGAGGTACTGTATCTGAGAATCTATCCATCGTAGAGCCTTGCAGTAAAAGAATTTATCACTAAAACGGCCACGAGCAAAACCTGGAAAATATTTTTAAGTTTCTGAAACGACCGCTAGGGGGCGTAACTGCAGTCTGGAATCTAAAAAAGTGATGTTTCTGTGAATTCCGCTATATTAACTTAACAAAAAATTGTCCGGTCTTTGAAGTTGACGATAATCTGAACAATTTTTGTTTGACAATTTTTCCTGTATCTCTAAAAATGAAGTGGTGGGGGGTTTTCAAAGGTTTCCGTTAAGAACACCCTGTATCTTCGAAACGCCTGAGCCGATTTAAACAAACTCGGGTTAGTTCAAAAGAGCTATTCTTCAGCTACGAATATTATACTATTTGAAGTTTTGTTAGTTTCACATATCGCCGCTTGAGGGGTTTTTTCGACATTCCGACAGAAATGGTTCATTTTCTCAAAAAAATTAAATCCATTGGTTCGATTTTTTTTTTCATGAAAGAGTACCTAAATGATGCCTAAACAATCTCGCGAAAACAGCATCTCGATATCTTGAGATATATATATGTATATTTTTTTTATATCGTGATGGCCAGCATTTCGAGCATTTACGGCGGCATTAAAAGCTTCCTTTTTTAAATCGATCCACCTTAGGACCACAAATTATATAATAAAAATAATTCCGGAAAAATTAGCTTAAAAAAATGAAATTTTGAGGGTATAAAATTTTCTTTGGCCTAAATTTTAGGTTAGGAACAAGATATCGACATGGGGTTTTCGCGAACTTGTTTAGGCATCATTTAGCTACTTTTTCATGAAAAAAAATCATTCCAACGCATTTAATTTTTTCGAGAAAATTAACCATTTCTGTCGGAATGTCGAAAAAAGCCCTCAAGCGGCGATATGTGAAACTAACAAAACTTCAAATATTGTAATATTTGTAGCCGAAGAATAACTTTTCAATTAACCCGAGTTTGTTAAAATCGGCTCAGTCGTTTCGAAGATACAGGGTGTTCTTTACGGAAACCTTTAAATACCCCCCACCACTTCATTTTTAGAGATACAGGAAAAATTGTCAAACAAAAATGGTTCAGATTAACGTCGTCTTCAAAGACCGGACATTTTTTTGTTAGGTTAATATAGGGGAATTAACAGAAAAATCACTTTTTTAAATTTTAGATTGCAGTTACGCCCCCTAGCGGCCATTTCAGAAACTTAAAAATATTTTCCAGGTTTTTCTCGTGGCCGTTTCAGTAATAAATTTTTTTACTGCAAGCCTCTACGATGGACAGGTTCCCAGATACAGTACCTCGCATTCTTATTTGGCCACCCTGTATATTTTAATTTAAAAATATAACATAAAATTCTCTTTTCAAAAATATAACATTATTAAAACTCTTCTCTCAAGTTCTTCAATTCCCTCCCTTATCAAGCCTCACAGGGGTGTATAATATGTCTCTTATGCATTGCTTTTTTTGAAAGAAAAATAAATGAAACATCCCCAGCAAGACAAAATCACACACCTATTTCTCACTTGCAGGTTCAAGACACGCTAGACCTGCTGGAGAGCGAAGATACGAAACTCCTGATGACATCGTGCATCGATCGAAGTTTCGTCACCCTATGCGACCAGATCTCCGAGTTTTACGGCCCGAACATGAAGGACGAGTTCGTGCACACGTCCGACGTTAAGGTCGCGATGGCCAAGCTCATTCCGATCATCAACGGCCTGTTCTCGAAGAACGCGTTAATCAATAGCCTGATTCAGCAGCTGATAGCGAACGAAAAATTGAAAGTGTTAGGTGCGAATGTGTACGAGGCATTTAGTTTTAGTAACAATAATTTTGTTTAGCACTGACAAATAAGAGATTGTTATTGTTTATTAGTTTGGGTAGTTTTCCTATTTTTGTACCTTCTTGGGATCTAGACGATATTTATTTTCCTATATGTATACGTACAGCTTCTTGTTTATGGTCCTCTTATATTATAATGTTTTATGTATAAACAAATTTATTATCTTTGGCATCTAATTCCACTTGAAGAACCCAATTTCAGGTCGTTTATTATCGTTTGTTGGATATTTTTACCCATGGGAAGTTGACCCGCTCACATGAAATAATTTGACAAAAATGTGTACATTAGGGCTCTGAGAAAAATAAAAAAAACGGAGGGGGGCCAAAACGTACCCTCCCTCTAAACTGCAGTTTTCTTAAGTGTACACTTTTCTTTAACTGTATACGCTCCCTAATTTCAACGGTGCAAAGTGAACTACGTGACAGGAGACACAACCTCACAATTCAAAATGGAGTCGCCTGCTGCAAACGATGTAAATAATTGCGATTCACCGGCCTCTAAAAAGCGAAAATTAGAGGATAACAAGCAAATTAGCATTCACGAGTCGTTGAACAACTTAACCGAATTCAAACTGGAAAAAATCCTCTACAATAACACTAATCGCAAGTCTATCTGTTTGCAAGGCGTGTTCCACAACTCCAAGGAACCCGCTCTAGTTTTACTCGAAAAAACCGGCTTTACCGAGACCAACTTTAACGGTGACAGTGAATTTTTCACAGAAAAATCATCCCTGAAGCAGATTTTCCACAACGACATATACGGCAACTACGAGTTCCTACCGAAGCTGGAGCTAAACTGTAAGCTACTCGTTTCAGGCTTAAGGCTTAAGTGGCATCTTTCAGCAATCGGTGCAACGATCATTCATCCGGCCACCGAGAAGCACATTAAGAAATATTCGATCCAAAACGTGTACTTAGTCGACGAGACGCCGGCACTTTACGAAGAAGTTACCCTGCCCCATATCACAGAGGAACAATTCGACTTGCAGGTACGAGTCGAGTTTCCCCGACGACGGTTACAGTTTTCGTTGTAGTGGGTTTACAACATTCTCGACCACAAGAGCGAAGCCGATCGTATCGTTTTCGAGGACCCCGACGACACGGACGGCTTCATTTTAATACCCGATCTGAAGTGGGACGGAAAGTTGGAGAGCTTGTACTTGCTCGGTTTAGTTCGTGTGCACGGACTGAAATCGTTGCGCGATCTCACCGCGGCCCATCTGCCGCTGCTGAGGAATCTCAAGGAGAGCGGAACGGTGAGATTAGTTTTAGTGAACGGAATCACCCCGTGGTTTTTTACAGAAGGCGATTTGCGAGAAATACGGCTTAACGGCAGCGCAACTACGCATCTACCTACACTACCAGCCCTCCTTCTACCACCTTCACGTTCACTTCACGAATTTAAATCACGACGCGCCCGGAACGAAAACGGAAAAGTCCCACCTGCTTTCGAACGTCATCAGCAACATCGAGCTCGTGCCCGATTACTACCAAAGGGCGACGTTACCGTTCATCGTGCGCGAGGGCGAGAACTTAGTCGCCAAGTTCGAAAAGAAGGGCGTGCTAACGCGGGGAGCATGTCGCTCGTCAAGTCCTTAGTGATGGAGGTTCGTCCCCGATTGCAATCGGTGAACGTTTACGTCATACTCGCCAAAGCCGACTCGGTCACTGTACGTCTAAATACCGATCATTTCGAGCTGAGATCCGCCACCCTCAACCGAAAGGTGCGCTGTGCCGATTTTCGCATTGTACCCGATAGTTTAAGCGGACTCGTTTGCGCCGGCGATCAACTGACATTTCGGTTCGGCACCGAAAACCGTCGTGGCGATTTGGGGACGCTAAAGTGCGAATTACTGCCGACGACTACTACCGATCGAATTCCGCCGAGAAAACCGTTCTTGCGGCAAGGCGAAACGTACGGCATTTCGTGCGCGGAGTGTTCCGGGGCGTTGGCGCCTCCGATCCGTTTCGACAGTGCGCTACCCGTGCCAGAAAACGGCGATAAGTCCGATTGGTTTTGCCACTCGCACGTGGCTCTCGCCGATCTGCAACCGAAGCGCACGCAAGTCTTGTACGGCGATTACTTCGCGTATCTCGACTCGACCGTACTCCAACTCGTTACCGACGACTCGACGTTGTACTGCCCCCAGTGTTCGTCGTGGATTGGAACTCGAGAGAAGGGCGCCTGCAAGGTTTGGTTCAACACTGCGAATTTCGGCGCCGGAGTCGAGAACGGCGCGTTAATCGACGTGATTGCGATGCTTAAGCTGTGCTGCCATGCGCCTTTTAGTCCCGTCCGAGTGGTGCTACAGTGTCACGATCCTAGGAATCCGGCCGATGTCATTTTGCTTTGGATTATGGAGAGGAACTTGACTTTGGACATTGATGACGTTAAGTCTATCGTGGCCAAAGTCTTGTTTCGAGTGGAAAACAAAACATCGGACCTGGCATCGGAGTGGTTCTCCAATGTAAACGTGATTGTGTATGACGTATCGAAACCGATGTTATCCAAATTAAGTGAGCATTTATACGACATGGGTCGTTACATTCCTAAAGATTTCAATGTTTCAAATGACTTCAATGTTTCTTACATTTTGTGTAATAAAATAGTTCAGTAAACGAGATTACGTGTAGTGTCTGGCAAAGGGCGCCTAATTTTATGCAACCAACATAACCTTAAAACAAATGGGGATCTGGGGAACATGTAATTAAGGCGCGGGTCCTTCATTTCGCTCCTGTATTATAGCCTATTCCTTTGCGTCATAGCGTTTTTGGAATGCCAAAGGGCAGGGCAGGTAAACGGAGGGCCGTCCATATACCTCTTTGGTATACCTATACCTAGATTTTTGACGATTTTAATAAAGTATCTGTTCCCAATACAAGAGTTAAATCGCCATAATGGGCTACTAGTTCAAAAGTTACAGCCCTTTGAATTTTTTTCTAGTCTATAACTTTTGATTGAGAAATCTGATCGAAAAAGTTCGAAGTGATTTGGATTCTACGTACCCAAATTAATAAGAAAAAGTGTTTTCCAGAGAAATTTTGGTGTAGTAGATTTTTGGTAAAAAAGGAAGGTATTACACTGCCTTTTTTTGGGCCCGAAGAAAAAATTGTTTCAGATCGATCCGGAAAAAAAATTTTCTTATAGAATGTTGCCTGTAGAATCCATAATTTCAAACAGTTCCAAGATTGGGCTACTAATTCAAAAGTTACAGCCCTTACAACCCCCGCAATCGAGGATTACTTTACATATGAGACTGAATTTTCTAATAAAATTCGTAATTTTAAACCCAAAGGGAACTTTAACCTTAGAGAGCAATTTAAGGGTTGCTTATGGGTCATGTATACATAATCGAATAATGAAATACAAATATTTAATGCACTACAAAAATTACACCCCCGCAATCGAGGATTACTTTACATATGAGACTGAATTTTCTAATAAAATTCGTAATTTTAAACCCAAAGGGAACTTTAACCTTAGAGAGCAATTTAAGGGTTGCTTACGGGTCATGTATACATAATCTAATAATGAAATACAAATATTTGATGTACTACAAAAATTACAACCCCCGCAATCGAGGATTACTTTTCATATGAGACTGAATTTTTTAATAAAATTCGTAATTTTAAACCCAAAGGGAACTTTAACCTTAGAGAGCAATTTAAGGGTTGCTTATGGGTCATGTATACATAATCGAATAATGAAATACAAATATTTGATGTACTACAAAAATTACACCCCCGCAATCGAGGATTACTTTTCATATGAGACTGAATTTTCTAATAAATTTTAACCTTAGAGAGCAATTTAAGGGTTGCTTACGGGTCATGTATACATAATCTAATAATGAAATACAAATATTTGATGTACTACAAAAATTACAACCCCCGCAATCGAGGATTACTTTTCATATGAGACTGAATTTTTTAATAAAATTCGTAATTTTAAACCCAAAGGGAACCTTAACCTTAAAGAGCAATTTAAGGGTTGCTTACGGGTCATGTATACATAATCGAATAACGATATACAAATATTTGATGTACTACAAAAATTACAGCCCCCGCAATTGTGGATTAATATTGAGGGTTCCGGCACAGTTCCGTCTGTGACCTCAATAAATTTCGGTTCCGGTTTTTAAAGATTGCAACATAAATAAGTAAAATTATTAATAAAAAATATAAATTATTATTAATTGTAACAAAAAATAACAGCTTTTATTAAAACTTCTTTTAGAACAAAAAAACCGGTTCTTTGGCACTAATAGTAACGGTAACTTCTTGAATAACTACACCGATTCCAAGTGAGGCGCTTGTAAATTCAACCGGTTCCAGTTCCAGTCCGGTAACCGGTTCCAACCTCTTCTAATACTTAATGCTGTTTTGCCATATTTAATATAAACACTGCAATTAATCGTCTAAGCATTGCGTAATTGTCTAGGGTCAAGATCGTGAGTGACGTTTTGACTTGGTCTGATTTTACTGATCAAGCAGTTCGATTACGGTTCTTTCTCATTTTTTTAAAATAAATTATAAAAATTATGCAACATTGTCTGACTTCTGCGCCGCTTGAGGTTATCGCCACTATGTGTAGTATGGAGTGGGTTATCGAGAAACCACTTGCGATTTCTTCCTAGATTTTCTTTCAGTACGTCTGAAACGATAGTGATTTGTAGGAGGACGCTTTATATAGTTATACGCGTGTTACCTGCAAGCTCGTCCACTGATGTGCAACTTCCGCCGTATTCCCTCGGGAAATACTCTTGAGGGATGATCGAGAAAAGTTCGTTGTAGTTCATTCCAAAGGCGTGGGTCGTAGATGCCATATTTTCACTCATGAACAGCTTCGCGAACTTCAACGTTTTTTCGAGCAGCTTCGTGGTGTTGATCATGTACAGACCTTTGATTCTACACGGGTAAGCGTTGAAGAAGTCGCAGAAGACGTTCTTGAGAAACCTCGGCGTGAGTTGCTTCATGAAACCCGTGAATCCCTCCAGGTCAATGATCACGTGCTGCCCGACCAGCATACAGGTCTCACTTTCGTTTAAGTAGACATCGAGAAGCATGGAGCTGAGTTTAAGCACATCAGATATTTTCGTTACGTGGGGCTCAAGAACCCCCCACCTTATCAAAATGCAATCCTGATCGGGAGTACCGAAGGAAATCAGCGCGCTGCAAGCAAAATACTCACTAACTGATGGAACCTTCCCAAAGCCTTACCCACCTTTTATTCAGCAGCTCCTGAATGTGCGCCAACGCAGGATCACGATTTCCGAACATTTCTGGCGCCACACACTTCAGATTGAGATACGCTTCCAGCTTCTTCTTGGCGCTGTTGGCGTTAAACTTACAGGAACGTAGTGTGTTCAGCAACCAAAGATCGCCTGGAATGGCCGATGAGGATTATTTCGCAAACCTTCAACGAAGCAGGTGTCTTACCAATTCGAAACTTTAGCTGGTACTTGTCCAACGCCCAACGTTCAATTTCATTCCAGCACTCCTCTCTGTTGCCATCTAGTTCGTTCAGCTCGGCCTTGGCCTTCTCCTCAAACTCTTTTGTTAGATGACGATCGTTGTAGTACATATTGTGCTTGTGGCAGCGTCTGTATGCTTCGAAAACCTTTTCAAATATGAATAAGAGGAATCCAGTGCGATTTATATGTATATAGGAACTTGATGATAACCTTTAGACCAGCATGTGACGTTTATCAACAGATGTTTTGTCTTTTAAAACGGATTACCTCAATCATTAATTTGATTACTCAGAAACGCCAGACGAAATTTATTTATCTTTCGTTGAGATTTTTTTGTCTGCAGAGACTGTACAGAATTACTAACATTGTGCAGATGGAAAGAATGTATTTGTTCATATAGTTTCTGCTTGCCAATAGTTGGTACGTTGTCACACTTACCTTTAGAGGTGCAAGCTTTCCTGTGAATTTGTGATATTCGTGACTTCAAAATGGCAAAATTAAGACAATACGGTAGATATTGAGTGGATTGACCGACTGTCTCCCCCTCTCCCCCTCCAATTGTCTCTCTTTGCTTGAAATGGTTGGCCAGTGGGAAAATTCCTATATATATATATATATATATATATATATATATATATATATATGAGGGGGGGAGGGTCCTATACGCTCCAGACCCCCCCCTCCCCGATACTAAGTTATCATCCAAAAATATTTAGCGTTAGCACTCCCATGAGTTTGTTTGTGCATCACGATCGTGTGGAGCATAACACTCGTCCAGACAAAAAAGTAGGATGGTTTTTTATCACGAATCTTCCCCAGGGCTTAGGGTGTGACGTAAAAACGTAGCACCGGAGGGAAGGCTGGGAGGGGTATGGAATACTCCCCAGTATATCACATGAGGGTTTCATTCGAATGAGTATTTCATGATGGAAGTGACGATTGTAAAAAATGTGTAAACTAATTATAGTTTGCTGGGGGGAAACTACTATTTTTCAACACATATTATTGAAGAGTACACTTTTTTGGATATAGCATCATAAGATGCGTTCACTTTAAAGAAATGTAACAAAAAATAGTGGTACAAAATATATATATAGGTACCTCCCTTGACTCTGCAGACGTACGCCGCCGACCACAGTGTTAAAATATGTGAATTGGTGGCAAACTTTTTATAATTTTGGACACTATAGAATGCTTATTTAAAAAAAGTTGTTTTGAAGATACACTGAGGTGTTTTAGACAAAATGTCCACCCTGTATAACCAAAAACAGTGTCGTTTTTGGTATAGGTAGCGTAGAGATTTATCATTTCGTTTGCAGACTTTTTGGAATTTCCGTAGATTCTTAGAACGTTTAGAAAATATTTTGGACGAGATTTTTGAATTTTTGAAAAGTGCCCACAATTTGGTTAGACATGCACATCCACTGTTTATCCAAAAATCCTAAATACAAGCTGGGCCCATTTATCTCTAAGCGTAAATTTGTTTATAAAACCGATAAAAACAGCACCCACGTCACATGTTTTCATATAAAAACTACGTAATTATGTATCTTATCACGTTCCACTTATTTTGCAAAGAATCCGAGAAATTTGTTATCTGGATCACGCCAAACTTTGGAGGTGATACGGAATCCCATCGGCGTGATCCCGAAAAACAGTCCCTATTTTGTACTGGGTGGGGGTTTTTCTTTTTTCATGATAGCTGTTACCCATACCAAACTGATTGCACAAGCGCTTTCAAGGATCGGCGTGGCAAAGGTCCTTTTAATTTAACTGTCCTTTTGCCTCGCGAGGTTAAAATCGTCTTTTTACCATGGCCTAATTTGCAATCAAATAGTTAATTGAGAACGCTTATTACATATTAATTAATTAAACCGGTTAATTGAGTTTGATATCGCCATTTTTCCATTTTATCGAGTGCATTGTAAACGTTAAATAAGCATCGGTGGTTCAGTGGTAAATGCTCGCCTGCCAGGCGGGCGGCCCGGATTCGATTCTCACACAATCAAACATATTGCATAATTAGGTGCTAATTAGGTGCTAATTAAGTGCCCTATCCCCGAATTAAATGCTCCATTTTTTTAAATATTACATGTTGTGCCAGGTTCATAGGTAGCTTCGATGCTGGAGACAAAAATCTCAAGTGACTTGGGATGGTGCTCGACAGCTTTTCAGGGTTTCCTAGCGTTTTCCATTGAGTTTTTAGTATTCCCTATAAGCCCCGTTCAGAGCTTTTGGGAGTATTGTAGATCGTTCCGGACATGCGAAAGTTCTCAGGGTTTTATGAGAGGTAAAACTTCCTGGAAAGGACTTTGATAGATCTGGAACGGACATGGAACACTCCCACAAGGGTTTGGAGGGACCAAAATATCTCTGAAAGGTAGCTTCAGTGCTAGAGACATCTTTTCAGAGATCTCAAGTGAGTTGGGATGGTGCTCGACAGCTTCTCAGAGTTTCCTAGCTTCTTCCATTGACTTTTTAGTATTCCCTATAAGCCCCGTTCAGAGCTTTTGGGAGTATTGTAGATCGTTCCAGACATGCGAAAGTTCTCAGGGTTTTATGAGAGGTAAAACTTCCTGGAGAGGACTTTGATAGATCTAGAACGGACATGGAACACTCCCACAAGGGTTTGGAGAGACCAAAATATCTCTGAAAGGTAGCTTCAATGCTAGAGACATCTTTTCAAAGATTTCAAGTGACTTGGGATGGTGCTCGACAGCTTTTCAGAGTTTCCTAGCGTCTTCCATTGACTTTTTAGTATTCCCTATAGGCCCCGTTCAGAGCTTTTGGGAGTATTGTAGATCGTTCCAGACATGCGAAAGTTCTCAGGGTTTTATGAGAGGTAAAACTTCCTGGAGAGGACTTTTATAGATCTAGAACGGACATAGAACACTCCCACAAGGGTATGGAGGGACCAAAATATCTCTGAAAGGTAGCTTCAATGCTAGAGACATCTTTTCAAAGATCTCAAGTGGCTTGGGATGGTGCTCGACAGCTTTTCTGGGTTTCCTAGCGTCTTCCATTGACTTTTTAGTATTCCCTATAAGCCCCGTTCAGAGCTTTTGGGAGTATTGTAGATCGTTCCAGACATGCGAAAGTTCTCAGGGTTTTATGAGAGGTAAAACTTCCTGGAGAAGACTTTGATAGATCTAGAACGGACATGGAACACTCCCACAAGGGTTTGGAGGGACCAAAATATCTCTGAAAGGTAGCTTCAATGCTAGAGACATCTTTCAAAGATCTCAAGTGACTTGAGGTGGTGCTCGACAGCTTTTCAGGGTTTCCTAGCGTTTTCCATTGAGTTTTTAGTATTCCCTATAAGCCCCGTTCAGAGCTTTTGGGAGTATTGTAGATCGTTCCAGACATGCGAAAGTTCTCAGGGTTTTATGAGAGGTAAAACTTCCTGGAAAGGACTTTGATAGATCTGGAACGGACATGGAACACTCCCACAAGGGTTTGGCGGGACCAAAATATCTCTGAAAGGTAGCTTCAATGCTAGAGACATCTTTTCAAAGATTTCAAGTGACTTGGGATGGTGCTCGACAGCTTTTCAGAGTTTCCTAGCGTCTTCCATTGACTTTTTAGTATTCCCTATAAGCCCCGTTCAGAGCTTTTGGGAGTATTGTAGATCGTTCCAGACATGCGAAAGTTCTCAGGGTTTTATGAGAGGTAAAACTTCCTGGAGAGGACTTTGATAGAACTAGAACGGACATGGAACACTCCCATAAGGGTTTGGAGGGACCAAAATATCTCTGAAAGGTAGCTTCAATGCTAGAGACATCTTTTCAAAGATCTCAAGTGACTTGTGATGGTGCTCGACAGCTTTTCAGAGTTTCCTAGCGTCTTCCATTGAGTTTTTAGTATTCCCTATAAGCCCCGTTCAGAGCTTTTGGGAGTATTGTAGATCGTTCCAGACATGCGAAAGTTCTCAGGGTTTTATGAGAGGTAAAACTTCCTGGAAAGGACTTTGATAGATCTGGAACGGACATGGAACACTCCCACAAGGGTTTGGAGGGACCAAAATATCTCTGAAAGGTAGCTTCAATGCTAGAGACATCTTTCAAAGATCTCAAGTGACTTGAGATGGTGCTCGACAGCTTTTCAGGGTTTCCTAGCGTCTTCCATTGACTTTTTTAGTATTCCCTATAAGCCCCGTTCAGAGCTTTTGGGAGTATTGTAGATCGTTCCAGACATGCGAAAGTTCTCAGGGTTTTATGAGAGGTAAAACTTCCTGGAGAAGACTTTGATAGATCTAGAACGGACATGGAACACTCCCACAAGGGTTTGGAGGGACCAAAATATCTCTGAAAGTAGCTTCAATGCTAGAGACATCTTTTCAAAGATCTCAAGTGGCTTGGGATGGTGCTCGACAGCTTTTCAGAGTTTCCTAGCGTCTTCCATTGACTTTTTAGTATTCCCTATAGGCCCCGTTCAGAGCTTTTGGGAGTACTGTAGATCGTTCCAGACATGCGAAAGTTCTCAGGGTTTTATGAGAGGTAAAACTTCCTGGAGAAGACTTTGATAGATCTAGAACGGACATGGAACACTCCCACAAGGGTTTGGAGGGACCAAAATATCTCTGAAAGGTAGCTTCAATGCTAGAGACATCTTTCAAAGATCTCAAGTGACTTGAGGTGGTGCTCGACAGCTTTTCAGGGTTTCCTAGCGTTTTCCATTGAGTTTTTAGTATTCCCTATAAGCCCCGTTCAGAGCTTTTGGGAGTATTGTAGATCGTTCCAGACATGCGAAAGTTCTCAGGGTTTTATGAGACGTAAAACATCCTGGAGAGGACTTTGATAGAACTAGAACGGACATGGAACACTCCCATAAGGGTTTGGAGGGACCAAAATATCTCTGAAAGGTAGCTTCAATGCTAGAGACATCTTTTCAAAGATCTCAAGTGACTTGTGATGGTGCTCGACAGCTTTTCAGAGTTTCCTAGCGTCTTCCATTGAGTTTTTAGTATTCCCTATAAGCCCCGTTCAGAGCTTTTGGGAGTATTGTAGATCGTTCCAGACATGCGAAAGTTCTCAGGGTTTTATGAGAGGTAAAACTTCCTGGAAAGGACTTTGATAGATCTGGAACGGACATGGAACACTCCCACAAGGGTTTGGAGGGACCAAAATATCTCTGAAAGGTAGCTTCAATGC